GGAAGGAACCCCCAACCCAATTAATAGTACGATACTACGGTAGCGAAGACGAGTACCGTACTATATATATATATAGTTTTTTGGGTTGGGGGGGGGGGAATGACTGAATAAAAATATAATTAATGGAAATATTATCATATGAGGTTGAGTTAAGATCTCTGAACTTGTTTTTGCTTGAAGAAACAAAAGTCAGAGGGGGATCTGATTTAATTGTTTAAGATTTTTAAGGGAATTGATGGTGTTGATGCAACATCTTTTTGTTCATATTTAATGATGAGAATGGTAAGACTAAGGGACAAAAATATAACATTTGGAAGTCATCTTCAGCTAAGGCAGCTTTATTTTCCTAACAGTGTCGTTGGCCTCTGGAACGGGTTGCCTTTGTTATGTTATTATTTTTTAGTGTTAACTTAATATATATGTGGATTTAAGACAAACGTAACTCTTATGAGATACCATTGAGATTAAGGCGATCGTATATGTAAAAGACCAGTTAACCAACAGACGATTCAACAATATATTTTAATTTTCTAACATATATACATGTTGGACAACGACACTAAGTAAAATAAGAATATATCTATCAGCTATGTTATATTTCTGTTTATGTATTTGTAATCAAACATAAAAATATATAGTAATCTATCTGTTCTATGCCGACCGCGAGTACCGCTGATCCTCCTGGGAGCACTTCGTATTTTTTGATTAGTGTTTTTTTTTGTTTGTTTGAATTTATGCACAAAGCTACACAATCGGCTATATGTGCTCTGCCCACCACGGGTATCGAAACCCGGTTTCTAGCATTGTAGGTCCGCAGACATACCGCTGTGCCACCGGGGGCTTTAATTAATGTAATGAACAAGGTATGAAATATACCTAACAAAATATGAAGTAGCATATGCAAAGCCATAAGTTCAAACTCATAGGACACTATATACGATATATAAATATTCGAAGTTATAAATAACATGCCAATCTACTTAAAATAATAATAAGTTTAAAGAATATATCTAATATATGTTCAAAATATAAAAGGTTTAAGAGTGTACTGTATTTCAAATATCACTATTAATTTCACCCTTCCGTAAGAAGGACAGAATATATTTTGTCACGTGTGTTCACGCAATTTTCCTAAATTTTTGTTCAGATGCTCTGCATGTAGTATGGGATTTTCATTAACTGTATATCGAAAGCTCGTAAACATCTGGTAATCATTTTACATTGGTAAAGATTACATATTGCATCAGCTAGAAACTTGCTCACTTTGACCATGTGTCTTTGTCCACTGCCTGGGTTGGATTAGTCCATGTTAATTGGTGGCAGAGACACTTGTACAAATTTGTATAAGTTATGGATTTTTCCCTTCTAAACATTTTACTTAGAATAGTCAGTGAAGTAGGCAGCCCTGGATTTTGATAGTCCAATATTTAACGTTTTTCTTGATTTAGCATGTTAAAACATAATTTATTTTGCCTTTGTCCTATGCAGACATAAAATAAGTACTTTTCTGTCCTTGTCCTGAGCCCCCCAGTGGCACAACAGTATGTCTGCGGACTTCCAACGCTAGAATCCGGGTTTCGATACCAGTGGTGGACAGAGCCCAGATAGCCCATCGTGTAGCTTTGTGCTTAATTACAAACAACAATAACCTTGCCCTGAATAGTCATATAGAAAGCCTTTAACTTCAGCAGCCATTAAGATACAACAAACAGTGGTAAATCTGTCAGAAGGTAAAATGCATTACGCTTTATTGTGAATAAATATTTTGTATTATCTATTCACTTGTGTACTTACATATCCCATGCTATCAGTTTTCAATTTATTCTTCAATTAACAGTTCTGAACATGCGTTTTTGTGGAAGCTTTTAACTCATCTGTTGGATAACTGTTAACTGATATTCTTGTTAAAAAACATAACAGAATATATATGCAATCTAATGGATCTGTGTACGAATATTAGCACCACCAAAACGAGGACAACAGGTAGTGTTTGCAAAAACAAAACACCATTTCTTCAATAAAATAAATTGATAAATAATACAGACAAAACCGATTTACGACTGAAGTAAAGTTAAAGAGATTAAACAGAACAGGCATATAATTGGCACTGGTGAAACAAAGCCTAGCTTTCTCGCGATCAGTTTCGTCATTTCTTTTTCCATGTGATCCTCATGTCAGCAGCCTGCCAAAGTATGCTTAAGTGGTTAATAGCATTGGGCAGTATGTGCAAGATAGAAAGTATTTACGTTGGTATTTGTCATGCAAGTCACAAGCCCTTGAGTTTACAGCAGATCAAACTAATCATGCCAGTTTTAAGTGAAATCTGAGATGGAGCACTAGAATGGTTCTAAAACCTTTAAATTGAAGTTACGTTGATAATCTAAACGATATGAAAATATAGTTTGAAGCAGTATTTTTCAATTACTGGTCCATCAGAACCACCTTGCCAGTCCGTGGGATTTAACGATAACAAACAATCAAACAAAACTGACAGAATATTCATATGTGAATTATAATGTTTTTTGTTGTTCTTGGATATCATTGGTTTGTGGTAGTCTAGGGAGGCAGGGAGCTGTGAAACACTGGTTTAGAGTATAAACATACTTCAATAATATTGAATTTTTTGTTACTAGTATGATATACTGTTGCGTCATCGAGGTCACGTGACGCTAGTAATACATCATATTCTCGAAGCTTCGTGAATTCTCGGGAGGTTACTAGACTTCGGTGTTTTTTTATATATAAGACGGTCAAGACGTGACGGCAATAATGTAATGTTTGTGAAGATAGT